GCTCAAGTAACAGAAAAGTGACCAATGAGTAGCTTGCTTTTCACTTGCAAGGAGTCTCAAGGTTACTGGCTTTGGTATAAAGGCTTGACCTGTCTGGGCTGACCTCAAAGTTTCTAGACCGCATGGCGACTAGAGTGGTTGCTGAAGCACTAGCCATTATGTCCTAGTTCAAGGGAAGAAAAGCTGGTCAGTACCAGCTGCTTCTGTTTTATTAGGATTGCAAACACTTCCTGGAAATATGCTGGGCAGGTTTCTGCTTAGGTTTTATTGGCTGGAACTGGGTTTCTGCTTAGGTTTTATTGGCTGGAACTGGGTTTCTGCTTAGGTTTTATTGGCTGAGACTGGGTTTCTGCTTAGGTTTTATTGCACTAGCACTAACTGCAAGAGAGGTAGAGAAAGCAGGAAACAGTATTGTCACCATTGTCTTACAGTAGTCTATATCCATTAGCCAACGCCAGACCCAGTAACCCACCGCCACTGTTCAAGCCAGGTTCTGATGGGAAGGCAGAAGAAAGGGAGTGGCACTGGGTAGACAGCAAAGGATGGTCATGTCTCTCTCAGGATACCCTTTACTTCCAAGAGCTGGAATTCAGAACTGCCAGTGGTGAAAGGATACCAGATTCTCTTACAGGAACGTTCCTCGGTGTTCGTAAAAAAAGTGGTACCAGAGATGCAAGTAGAGATCAGGGTTTCTGCTGGTGTGAAGTCAGGTGTGAATCTAGTTGGAATGGAGGTGCTGGAAGCTGGCCCTGCAGTCTGCCCTGTGCTTATGCCCGCTTCCTCTCCTGTCAGAGTCTGTCTCACGGTCCCGCAGGCACTTGTTGGTCCCTTGGCTTCTCAGTGATTTTGCTTTTCACTCAATCTCCACTTTGAGCAATTGCCCAACAAGTTTAAAAAGGAGAAGCAGGAGCCACACACAGTTACACAATTAAAAGGATGCCAGCCGTAGCCTCACCTAGCCTGGGTGGGGCCTGGGCAGCCGGAAGTGGGACTCCTTCAGTCCAGCCCCGTGGTTCCGTACTCCAGGCTTGTCTGCCGAATGAAGTCCACACCTTGGCTCTGCAGATGTGAGGCTCATGAGGGAGAATGTACATCTTGTTTCATCCTTTTGTCTATTCTCACTGGTGTGAGAGCTGCTGTGGATGGTGCCTGGAGAGGCCTTGGATCATGCTGTCTGGAGCAGCCAAGAACATGAAGCAGAATGGATGTCATGCTCTGGCATCCTTGAAAGGGAAGTGCACCAGGGTCTCTTATGCTCAAACTTCTAAGTATGTAAAACAAGGGCCTAGGTAAATGTGGAGAGTGACCCTGAGGCCAGGACTGACCCAAAAAGAGGGGGTGTCAGGAACAACAATACAACTCAAGCCCATGCTGGACCTCCGGATCCTTCTCTTTCCTGAGAAGCTTGTCATGGCTCATGCTCTGGAAGTGCTCATGTGAATGAGGTCTGTGCTGGGGAAATGCAGTGGGTGTCAGTTCTGAAGCTTGGTTGTATTTCAAGAAGCCCAGTGCTCCACACAGGGGCTCCTGTAATGGAAAGGCTGTGCTGCTCGAGTAGAAAGATGATTTTGCTGTTTTATTTCTTTGCTTTGACAGTTCATCCTGGCACTTGCTGATGGCGTGTCAACTCTTGAGTTATGTTTTAGTTGAAACCTTGTGAAGGAAAAACCTAGTGGGAATTTGTGTATGTGTGTGTGTGTATGTGTGTGTATTTGGCATTTGTTAGCTCAATTGTGTAACAAAATATTATGTGTTTGGGTTTTCTCTCTTCTGGCCCCTTCTCTGTGTAAAAGTACTACATGCTCTGAGTATTGTCAGCTTCAACAGGTAAATGAAGCTGGAACCTATTGGTGTCAGGGAAACTTCCTCAAGGTTATTAAATACAAGAGACAGCCTCTTGGTAACAGTGGCTCTCTCAACTAGGTGATTTCCCCTAAATTCTTGGGAAGAGTTCAGGTCAACAGCCTGTGAGTTTTCATTGGCGGGGGCAGGATGGTATATGATTTCCATTTTACTTCTTTAGGAATGAAAGCATCTTATCAAAATAGCACACTCATTCCTGGAAGACCAGCTCCAGGGGGTTCTGCCGATGGTTTTAAACCATCTCAGGCAGACAGGTGTTACTGAGCATAGCTGTAGTGTTAGGCAGGGATCCTGAGTCCACCAAGTCCTCTACAGGCTCTACTTCCCAAACTCTTCCTCTATAATCCTGCCAGAACTGCAGCTGGGGATCTTAACTGCCAGCTCCCCAACAATAGTAAGCCCAGATAGGAGACTGGACATGTTTTTGCCTTTCCTGTGGCATCTCTTGTGTGCAAATTGGGGGCAAAGAAAATAACATGTAAGAGTTTAATGAAAGGAACTTAGAATTAAGAATGTCATTAAGTGCATTCATCAGCTTTAATGACTTGTAGTAACTCCTGTACTCACCTGTCTGAGCCCTCTTCACAGGTGTGTGTGTGTGTATGCATGCATGCACACACCCGGGAGCAACACATGCATGTCCCTGTGAGACTCTGCCTCTTAGACATGGCAGTGAAAACCTTGGGGCTCATCAATGGGGAGACCTAGTGTGAACCATAGCCATTGTGGGCAGGTTACTCAGCCTCTCTGAGGCTCGATTTCACCTGCAAAGTGGAAACAGTATTATTGACTCTACTGAGCTTATAAGGGGATTCAATGAGGCCATGTTTATGAAAAGACTAGTATATTGCCAGGCATATAGAAACTGGCGAATAAAGGAGAATTGAACACATTGAATTGAAATGGCCCAGAGGGTTACAACATCTCCAGATGGGAAAGGGAAGGGTGGTTGGGTGGCACATGTGGCCAAGGCCACCCCATTTCTTGGAAAAGTGAATGACCACACATCCCTGGGACGTCATGCTATGCATTGGGGGGGACAGTGGCAGAGCACTGTGTGTCTGCTGCCTTCATCCCCAGGGTTGCAGTCTGTGGTGGATGCTCCAGAGGCAGGGCAGGGAAGGCAGAATACCTTTCCTGTGAGAAACTCACTTCTCCTGCTTACCATTTATATTGGATTGTGAAATGCTCTGTGGGCACTTTTGTTGGTAATATATTTTGATAAATTCTCTCTTTTTAGCTAAAGGGAACTGTTTTCTATACATGTTCCTGGACAAGAGGTGTTGGCTCTGCCTCTTGATGGAGGGACAGTGGCTAAAGGATGGGATGATCAGCCTTTGACCCCCAGGACCAGCAGTGGTCACCAGGGGTGCTTGTTGGCTGTGCAGCAACCCACTAGACCCTCCAGGAGGGTCCGTGTGGAAGGATGGAGTTTAAATAAAATTTTTAATAGGCCTTTTTAATCACAGAAGTCTTGAATGCCCAGCTCAATATATTAAACAGACTACATTCTATGTTGACTCATTTTCCAGTGATCATAAGAGGTTGGCTTGTATGATCTCTTCTTAAATGTGTTGCCGATAACATTGGTAGCCCTTCTGATTCATGAGGAATCTCTCATTAGTGCAAATTTACTTCTTAAAGGCACATAAATGAAACTCTAGGGAAAAGTCCTGTCCAGAGATGCACCAATTATTGCAAGATGAGCCAGGTGTTTTTTGCCTTGAATGAGACCCAGAAAATAGTGTCAACTCAAGCAAAAATCTTACCCTAATGCTTAACAGTACAAAATGATCTTAGTTTTCCGGACTGAGTAAACCTCCAGAGGTTTCAGGATTAGAAGTTGACAAGAGGTTTACATAAAACTCTTGAATTTTATTGCTAAGATGATGACAGATTAGTTGGAATGTAATTCCTCAACTTGTAGAAAATGTACAGATATTTAAAATGTATCTTGATATATTTCCATATAGAAACTTCCCTAAAAATGTGTTTTAAATAATATGGAATCGTGGACATTTTGCAAAACCACAGTGCCTTAAAAACATTCATATTATTCTTGTCTCTTCCCATGCTTGGTTGCTGAGAGTGCATTTTAGTTGGCTTGTGTTAATTGATTAAATGTAGGTATCTGTACATTTGCACATTTTTGTTGGGTTTTGGAGGAGGAAGATCTCCAGAGACCTCAAGCTGTCTCTTAGCTGTCCAGCTTGAAGCGGGAGTCAGGGACCTCAGGGAGCTCCCTGTGCAGAGCAGCACATCTTCTCCTCCTGCCCTGTAACTCTCTTCTCATTCATCTGGAATGAAGTAAAGGCACTGAATGTGACGTCAGTGGGGCTTAGGTTTTGCCGGTTACAAATCTGTCAGTTCCTACATGTGCCTCTGTCTAAAGACAGGCACATTTTGACATGCATCAGGCCCTTCCTGCATACAGGGCCCTGTGAGGTAGGCTGGTATCCCAGGCACTCTGTGGGCCCCAGGGAGGGTCAGGAGGAGCCCAGACCTGTCCTGTGCCAAGGTGCAACTACAGGAGCCTGCCAGTGCAGCCAAGTTGTCCAGCTTTCTAGGTTACCAGGTTGCTTATACCTGCCTTTTCTTTCCATTTCATTGCAAATCAGGCTCACTACTCCTTGAACACTTGGCAGTCTCTGGGCTGGTGGGCCTCTGTAGTGCTGTCCTCCAGCCTTCTAACAGGCCCTGGACCCCACTGGAAAACTAACTCACTTTACCTGTTGCCACTGCTGGGGCTGTGTGTATCTGGTGGTCGGGCAAGAAGAGGCCAAGGATGGCTCCTGGCAGTTCTTTGTTCAGGATGTCTGGCCAGCTGAGGAGCCTCTGCACACAGTTGCTTTCTGAAGCCTATCTTCTTCCCTGGCTTCTCAACACGATGCCTGGGACAATTATGATGTTATTATGTGCTGTGCCCATTATTTCTTTAGCAATTGCTCTGTACATGTTGTGAACAGTTCTCCTAGAGCTCAAGGAAAATAGCTCAGTGACACTTAAAACAAAGTGGTCTATACAAACACAGGATTTAGCTTTGTTCCAGGTGGGTTGGCTTGAAACTTACCACTTGTCATGGGTGCGTCAGCAGGTGATGTCCAGCCCAGGTTGGTGGTGTTTGTGGAACCCTCACAATGACCACTTCTCTGGGGAAGGAGAGTTTCTTTGGCTCCATCTGGAATGGCTGGGATTGGGCCTCCCTGCCCCGCCCCTCCATAGCACAAGAGAGGTGTCAGTTTCTGAAATCTGTCATCAGTCACTGCACCAGCCTTCAGACTTGTGAAGTCCAAGGGCAATGGGAGAATGAGGCAGAAATTCCCAGACCCCTCACATTGCTACCTTCTGATGTCTACATGGAGGAAAAAGGGGAAGTGGGGGTTAGTCCCTGGGGAGGAGTTGGGCCAGAAAGGAGGAGAGAGCCAGCCCTGAGCTTCAAGGAGAGGTTCCTGGGTCCCTCTGAGGACATTCTAATTCAGGGGGCCTGGGGGGCCTGGGTGTTTCCAGTGAACCATATAAAAGTAGGCACTCCATCAGAGCTGTGGTTTTACGGTTGTGTCCAAGAAGTTTTCCTGGACATATGTTGGTAGCAATGCCAGGGGGAGCTGCCTCTTCCCATTGCCCCATACATTTTCTCTTTAAGGTACTTTATATCTTGAAATTGTGTTTGTGCAATTTCAGTTAAAGAAAGGGTCTGTTCCTTGAAGGTTTGGAAGCCATCCTGCGGAGTTAGGGGTGAGTAGTAGGTAAAGACTGAGGGCTACATAATGATTAAATTAATTAACTTGAAGCTAGACCAAATGTATTTTATCTCATCCCCCTCTGCCACCTTCTGCTCCCCTGGAGTTTAGGGAGGTGTCTGACTTACTCACCAGTAAGGGGATTAAGCTTGTCATCTGGTATCATCACCTTGCTCTGAAACCACAGGGAAGGAAGCTTAGGCTTTGCAGCAGCTATGCCCAGCTGGGTCGAGAATTTATTGCGAATTCCATTATGTATCCTGAAAGATGTACTTGTGGGTAGGGCCTCCACTGGCTTTTCACCTTGTCCCCTACCCCACCAGCGATGTTTGCTCTGGAGGTCACTGCATTAGAGTGTTCCTCTCAGATGGTCACAGTGGAGGGCACTTATGTGACTCACTGCAGCTATGGAAACTTTCTGAGAACAGGGCAACAGACCTCAGACTGCCAGTCTTCGGAGTGATAATGAAAAGACTGTGACTTTAGCTGTGGGGCTCAGCAGCACTTACGGAAAAGAAGTGGAGTCTGCGCTCCGTGGGGAGCTCCTGCCAGCTGAGGACTTGAAAAGGGTGCTTCCCTGGTGTTCTCAGACAAGGGTGGAGGCACCTCTAAGCCTTCCTGGACAGCTTGGTCACAGGACAGAAAGTCTTGGTGGTGTATATGCTGGAGAATTGGAGCCATCAGTGTCTTGGGGATAATAAGAAACAAACTTAAAATATATAATTTTTAAGAAATGTTTTGAGAATGGGGAAGAAATGAAGAAAAGATGATATTTTAGCAAATAACTGTCTTTTTTTTTAAGTATGTTGAAGTGATATAGACTGATACAGCAAGATGTTTTTATTCTAGTGCCCTGAGCAGCAGGCAGTGTGTCCTGGAAATGTTAAAATGCCATTCCTGGTCTGGACTTTGCTGCTGAATGACCTGGGCATCTGTCCCCTTCTCTGGGACATGATTATTGGTTATGTGAACTAGTGGTTTTCAACTGTGTTATTTTCATTTGTCTGGGAATGCTCCGCTCAAGTAAAGTCATACTCACAAAAGTCAACAGACAGACCTGCCCCTTGATCCTTCTCTCCCTTGGCCAAAAGGTCACTTAGAGCTGCCCAGAGGCCTGGTAGAGTCTCCTGACTGGGTGAATTCGGGGATCCCTGTCCCTTCACGTCACTATGGAGCCTGACAAGCCTCAGCAGTGTTTGCACCAACTCTCAGTTGGGGTTCAATTCAGGCCTGAAGGATTTGACCTGAAGTAGTCCTTGTAGTATTTTTATATCAAAGAGATGGTAATTGCCTTTCAAAGGCTGAGTAAAAAAGGAAATGACAATAAACTTATTTCTTAATTTTTTTCTATAAAATAAGCCAGTCTGTTAAAAAAGATATGAGACGTTAAATGTACCTCAAAGCATTCTTAATCCCACATCTCCAATGTGCTATTGCAGGACTGAATTTTAATAACATCAAATTGACTCCGTAAGTAGTTACTTATAATCTGGATATCAGCATAATGAAGTATAATGTGGTAAGAATGAATATTATTATACCGTATGTGGTGGTTAATACGGAGTGTCAACTTGACTGGATTGAAGGATACAAAGTATTGACCCTGGCTGTGTCTGTGAGGGTGTTGCCAAAGGAGATTAACATTTGAGTCAGTGGGCTGGGAAAGGCAGACAGACCCTTAATCTGGGTGGGCACAATCTAATTAGTTGCCAGTGAGGCTAGAATATAAAAAGGCAGAAAAATGTGAAAAGAGAGCCTGGCCTAGCCTCCCAGCCTATGTCTTTCTCCTGTGCTGGATGCTTCCTGCCCTTGAACATCAGACTCCAGGTTTTTCAGTTTTGGGGCTCAGACTGGCTCTCCTTCCTCTTCAGCCTACAGACAGCCTATTGTGGGACCTCGTGATCGTGTGAGTTAATAAACTCCCCTTTACATATATATATATATATTCCATTAGTTCTGTCCTTCTAGAGAACCCTGACTAATACACCTTATTTTGGGGGTTTCATGTAAAATCCACAACAAAATCGAAGGTAACTGCACTCCTGGTACATGGAGCTTGCAGGATACTAAAGTAGTGTCACTTGAGTGTAATGTGTGGACACATACACCACGTGCATCAACTATGCTGGGTAATGACGGTTTTTTGCATCAGTCTATATAAAAATATATAAATAAAAAGCATATATATATAATTTTACATTTATTATATTTATACTGATGGTGTATTTATTTTTATTATTTATTTATGTGAAAAATCAGTCACATATCATAGGTTTACGATTTAAAGCCATCCTGATTTCTCTTGGCTTTTAGTGATGGATTGAAAGTAATTTAATAGTAAATCTCATATTTCTTGCATACACACATACAGCACAATGTAGAAATGTAGCAGAAACAAGCTATTCTAACACCCACCAGGTAGATGATGTTTCTTTTAATGTGTTTTGTTTTGTTAGTACTTTCAAATGTTACTGTTGCACCAAAAATGCAATTTTATGCATTTAGAGAAAATGCCTCTGTGTCTGAGGTGTAGTGCCCACTGCCGGCCTGGATGGCGGCAGCTCAGAGCCAGCCCAGGGTTCACCCAGAGCCTCTGCGAACCAGAGGGGCTGGCTTCCGGGAAATTGTTTTCTGAGGCAGCCAGGGCCCCATACACCCGTCAGGCTGGGAAAGTTGAGTTCATGCAGTTGCTGGTGCTCCACTAGACCCCAGGCCAGGCCAGCTCCCATGAGAGTAGCACACCTATCTCTGCCTTTGCACCTGGCCTCCCAGCTGCCTGGGGTTTGAGGCCGACTCAGCTCTGCATGCTGGCCCTGGCACACATCCTCCTGCCTGTGCTGAGTGTTGAATGTGCTAGTGATTGTTCATAGGACTAATTGCAGTGTGGAGTTTCTGGGGATATCTGCTTTCCAGAACAATCGATGGAAATCTGATTCTGCTTTTTTTTTTTAAACGAGCCTGCCGGATAATGCTGCACATTAAGCTGCGTGTGTGCTTTCTGTAGGTTGTTGTTTTCTGCTTCGTTTGTTGGTTTGTTTCTGGCCCAGCATGCAGATACATGGGTCTCAGAGAGCATGCCTCTGAGACCCTTGGAGGGATGCCCATGTGCACGGCAGGGGCTGCAGGGAATCCACAGCAAGGTGGGACCTGTTTCTAGACACTGCCATGGCAGCTGTCAGCAAGAATCAGCAAGGCACAGCCATCTCCCTGTCAGGGGTCTTAGAATAAATAAGAAAAACAAACAAAAATGCTGGGGCTCTTTCTCCTCCACTGTGAACTAGGTGCAGTATCGCCTTCCCAGCCTCTCCTTCTGCTCATTCTGGTGGTGAGAAGCTCTGTACCCAGAGGACCTGAGAATGGGAGGCAGGATGAGACCCAGACCTGGCTCTAAGCAGCAGAGCATGGGAACTTGGGGCTGCCAGGAGTGACCAGGGGACACCCACTGTAGTAACCAGCCACAGAGGCCATTGGGTAGGCCGGCTTCCCTGTCTTCCTGGCTGCATTCCAATGGCCCCACAGCATTCTGGGGAGTCCCAACCTTCAGGAACATACAATGAGCTTGAAGCCCAGGATCCCTGATTGGCTGCTGGCAGAATACATGGGGGTGGTGAGACCGTGGGCCACCAAGACCCTGGGCACAGGTGCCTGGCCTCTCCTTGGCTGGACCAAGGTGCACCTATCTGGCTGAGCCTCAGGTACAAGAGTGCAGCCCCCCGGGCTCTTTGCCTGGGAGCAGAAACATGCTGAGTGTCCAGGTGAGCCCAGCCTGGGCTAGTTTCCAGGCCTTGAAGCTCCCACTTGGTGAGCTGATGTTCATGGGAGGACTTCTGTGTTCATATTCCAGGGTGAGTTTTCAGTGCACGTTGAGTACCCTGTGTTATTCATGATCATCTTGCCACAAATGGGGTGTGTGCTCCTAATGTCACTGCCAGATTTCTGCCTGAGAAGGCTGCCTTATGCCAGCCCTCTTACTCCCTACTGTTTCTGTCATAATAAACACCCTTCTTGCTTTTGTGTCTAAAGTGTGGTTTCAGTGATTAGAGTATAATGTGTGGTTCTCCCCATTCACCTGAAGGAAAGTTTGGGCTGCATGTGAAAAGATGTTTAACTCACTGGTGCTTCCCCTGTATCTTCAGCCCTCTGTGCCACCCCAGCCTGTGACCCTTGACTGAAGGGAAGCCCCATGTCCTGGGTCAAGCAGCAGCCAGGCATTGAGAGCAACTAGGTATGAGCCAGAAAGATCTAGACTCCAGCCTGTCTTAGCTCAGGCTTCCATAACAAAGTACTACAGAGTGGGTGGTATATGCAAGAGGCGTTTATTTCTCACAGTTCTGGAGGCTGGGAAGTCCAAGGTCAAGGTGCCAGTGGATTCATGTCTGGTGAGGGCCCTCTTGTTGACCTGCAGGTGAATGCCTTCTCACTGTGTCTTCACATGGTCTTTACTAAGCATGCACATGGAGAGAGAGGGGACAGAATCTCTTCGTAGAGGAGCCCTAGTCCTATCATGGGGACTCCACCCTTATGACTTCATCTAAACAATTACCTTCCAAAAGCCCCACCTCCACATGGAGGCATATCAGAGGTTAGGTCTTCAACATATGGAGGGTTCTGAGAGCAAAGCCAGAAACAGAGCAAAGCCAGAAACTTAGACTCTGTGTTAATGGAACAAGTGCTTGTTGTTGAGAAGTGACCACCAGCCTACATTCCCTTTACTGACAATCGAAACCTGCTGCTTTGTGGAAATGAAAGAAGGAAGATCCCTAGAGTAGAGGGGTTTGTGT